GGATGTGTATTTTTGGAGCATGTCTGGTATTTGCAATACCCTTCTCTGCTAGGTGACACCACCAGTTCATTTTCAGAAATCATTTTCACAAAAATATATATATTTAACGTAAGGGGATAAGAAGAAACACAGTATGAGGTATAGGACAAGTTGCTGTGAGACATGCAGACTCAGCACCAAAGGCAAAAATTGTGCAAGTTATCTCCTATAACTGATGACTTATTAAACTAAGGTGTGCTTATGGACTACAGGGGTTAGTTACCTACTTCCTGGAGGCACTTAACTGTTCCCAGAAGTATTTAGTTCACTTTAACTGAACAAAGTTGACTATAACAGAAAAATTCCACAGGTTAAAAACAAAACCTGGCATGCTTTAAAAAAAGGGAGAGCAAGATTGGCATGTGAAGCAAACCACTCTTGTGGCAGTCTCAAGGTGTTGGAATTTATTTGTTGTATGCCTGGCATGTCTTCACAAGCAGCCGAAGCTCTTGGTGCTTTCTGTTCAGCAACCTTGTCCTAGGAAATGCTGAGTGAGGATCCTGGGTCATGCAGAAAGGCACTCAGAGGCCCTGTGGTGCAAAGAAAGGCACTTGGAGGAGCACAGAAGGACATGCAGTAGTCCATGGAAGTGCAAAGAAGGGCATTCAGAGGCCCCAGGGCTGCACAAGAATGGCACACAGAGGCTGCTGGGAAGCAAAGAATGGCACTGGGAAGTCCCTGACATGCATCAGAAGGCACTTAGAAGCCCAGAGGTCTCACTGAGCTGCACATGCAACATACAGAAAGGCCGAAGGAGGCTCATGGGTCTAACCGAAAGGCATTCGGAGGCCCTTGACCCACAAAGTGACATTGAGGGCTGATACATGAACAGGAAGGTCCTTGAAGACCCCTGGACCACAAAGAAAGGCATTTGGAAGCCTCAGGGATGCACCAAAACACACTCAAAGGTCCCTGGGCTGCACAGAAAAGCATACCATGGCCCCTGGACAGCAGGAGGCCCCTAGGGCTGCACAGAAGGTGCCACTGAGGGGAAGAGGTGCCCAGAAAGGCTCTTGAAGAGCCATGGGACACACAGAAAGCTCTGAAGGCCCCCAAAGACACAGAAAGGCATTTGAAGGCCATTGGGGTGCACAGAAAAATACACCATTCCTACTAGGCAGCAAAGAAAGGCACATGGAGGCCCTTGGTCCACACTGAAAGGCACCTATAGAACCCAGGGCCACACAAGAAGGCACCTGGTGGCCATTAGACTGAATGGAAAGGTATTTAGAGGCCAATGGGCTGCAGAGAAAGGCAGGCTGTGTCCCCTTGGACACACAGAAAGGAACTCAGAGGCCACTGGGGCACACAGAAAGGCAGTAGGAGATCCCTGACATGAACAAAAATGTGCTTGGAGGCATCAAGGTTGCACAGAAAGGCACTCAGATGCTCCAGGTCAATACACAAAAGCATTCAGAGAGTCCAGGACCTCACAGAAATGCTCTGGGAGAGCCCTGTGTCAAACAGAAAGGCAATCGGCGGCCTTAGAGCTGCACACATAGGCAGAAGGAATCCCCAGGGCCACCCCAGAGAAGCACATGGAGACCCTTACGTGCACAGAACAGCCCAAGGAAGCCCATGGGTCTCACCAAGAGGCACTTGGAGGCTCTGGGGCTGCACAGAAAGTGATACTGAGGGGTGAAAAGTGAACAGAACTGTACATGGAGGTCCCTGGGCTGTGAAGATGGGCACTCGGAGGACCCTGAGGTGCACAGGATCATAGTTTGCTGCCTGAAGCCACACAGAAAGCGACACCAAGGGGTGAGAGATGAACACAAAGGCCCAGTCTGCACAGAAAGGCACTCAAATGAAACAAAGTAAGTCACTCAGAGATCTCTGGGATGCACGAAAAGGCACTTGAAGGCTCTTATGTGGAAAAGGAAAGGTACTCAGAGACCCTGGGATGGTGCAGGAAGGCACCTAGAGGCCCCTTGATCAAGCAGAAAAGCACATGGCATCTCCTGGGCCTTAAGGAAAGGCACTTGGAAGCCTCTGGAGTCCAGAGAGAGGCACCCAGAGACAATTTGGTCAAACACAAAAGCACTCAGAGGCCCCTGTCTCAAACAGGAAACCATTCAGAACTCCATGGGCAACAGAGAAAGGGACTGGGAAGACACTGGGCTGAACTTTCTGTTCAGCTCAGGGGCCTCAAATTGCCTTTTTTTGTGGTTCTGGGGCATCCGAGTGCCTTCCTGTTTGAACCAAGGGACTCTGTGAGCTTTTCTATTACATTCACGGTCCTCTGAGTTCCTTTTTGTAGGGTGAAGAGACCTCCAAGTGTGTTTTTGTGCAATCCAAGGGCCTCCATGTGATTTTCTGTCTCCCAGGAGCCTCTTTGTCACATGCTGTTAGGGACAAGGGCTTCTCAGTGCCTTTCTGTTTGACCAAGAGGCCTCTGAATGCATTTCTGTGTGACGTTTTAGTGCCTTTCTTTGTCCTGAGGGGGTCCTTCCATTTCCTTTCTGTGTGCCCCAGACACTTCGGACTGCCTTTCTGTTGAACCCAAGGAGCTCGTGGAAGTTTTTCTGCTTAGCCCATGTGTTTCTGTGTGCATTTCTGTGCTGCCTATGGACCTCCAAGTGCCCTTCTGTACAGATCCTTGATTCAGATTGCTTCTGTCTGTAGACATAGTCAGTCTGTTCTCAGGGCCTCTGGGTGCCCTTCATGCTGTCTTGAGGCCTTTGACTCACTTTATGTCTGCAACAGGGGCTTCTGAGAGCTTTTTTGTTCAGCATGGTTCTCTGTGCATGCTGTGCACTTCCAATTTTGTGTGAATCACACAACTGGAACGCTGCAATCAATGGCTATAAACTGTTTAGAAGGTAGAGGCAGGGAGGAGGGACAGGGGGTTATCCTCTCTGTAAAAGAATGGATTGACTGCACAGAGCTGTCTCTGAAAACCAGAGATGAATACATTGGGAGCTTAGATGTAAAACTTAGGGGCCAAGCCAACAAAGGAAACTTCATGGTTGGTGTTGACTACAGGCTGCCTGATTGCAGGGAGCCTGTTGACGAAGTGTTCTGACATCAGTCACAGAAAGCATCACGCTCACAGCCTTTAATCCTGCTGAGGGACTTCACTTACCCTGGCATCTGCTGGAAAAACAGCACAGCAAGCTGTAAGCTGTCCGGAAGACTCTTGGAGTGCATTGAGGATAATTCCTCGTCCAGGTGATACACAGCAAAACTAGAGAAGTGTTACTAGAACTGTTTCTAACCAACAAGGATGAAATACAGACATCAAAATTGGTGGCAGCCTGGGCTGCAGTGATCATGCCCGGCAGAATTCACAATCTTGAGGGATACTGGCCAGGTGGACAGTAGTGTCTGGACTCTGCATTTTAGGACAGCAAACTTCCAGCTGTTCAAAGAGTTAGTCAATAGGACCCCCGGGAAACTGTCCTCAAGGACAAAGGAGCAGAACAGAGCGCACAGAGCTCTTCCCTAGCCTCCTAAAGGTTCCAATATTCTTCCTCATTAATCTATCAAACTAGAGCCCAACTCTGGAGTTGAAGTAGTCCAGTGATTTCTCCCACACCAAAGGTGTCAGGACTGAAAGTTGTGGGTGGCTGGCCCTCACCTTCCCATGGCAGCCCTTCCACAGCCCAGCAAACACTTGGACTAAGAACTTAACTAGACTCCTAATGATTCCAACAGTTTCTCACAGTCTAGCCACAGCCCAGCTCCAAAATTGAATACTTCCAGCAATTTCTGCCACACCAAATGTGCAAAGATTGAAACCTCTTGCTGGTCCTCACCTTCCCTTGGCAGCCCTTTCACGGCCTGGCAAAAACTGGGACTCTGCGCTTGCCCTGCCTCCTAGTGGTCCCAACACTCTCTTAGTCCAACCACATCCTGGCTCCAAAAGCGAAAATGTCCAGTGATTTCTTCCACACAAATGATGCAAGGACTGAAAACTGGTCCTCACCTTCCCTTGGCAGCCCTTTCTCAGCCCTACAAACACTGGGACTCTGCCGCAGGTCTATTCTTAACTCTTTGTCCAAATGTAATGCCCCTTTCAAGAAGTTGAACTGACAGAGTTTTATTTCTGTCTCATCTTTGGAGGCTGTTAGTTAAGTGGTGCTGCCACTTGGTTACTTCCCTTCGTGCCACATTCATGCAAGGTTTTTGTGCCTTTGTATGTGTACTGAAATACATTGCTTTTGATTCCACTGGACTTTTTGCAGAGGAAAATAGAGAAAACGCAGGGAACCTTTTTCTGTTGACCCTCAGATGCAAATCAGGTCTCACAGCTCTAATCCTCTCATTCTTGCTGTGCACAGCTCTGTGATAAATGCAGTATGTGGAAATGTTACATTCCATACTGTAATTACTGTTCAGAGGTCCTTTTGACTCTTCCAGGAAAACTAAGCAAGCCCAGCATGACTAGCTAACTGAGCAAAAAGGCAAAGAGAGCAGCCCCAGTAGCACTGGTACCTGAAGACAACAACCTGTAGCAAGAGGTTGTTTCCCAAAGTAGAGCTTTCAGGCAGAGAGATGTTCAGTCATATTATTGGGGGTGGGAGCGGGGGTGATGCAGAGTGTTTGTGTTCCTGCCTGCTGTTTTCTACATTACGAGAATGCTGCATGATTCAGCACATTCTCTCGGCTGGTTTAAGCAGTTTTGTAGCACCTGAGTACACATTGAGAAACAGTAAAGATGTTCTGCTCCAGAAAAGGCTGCCTATAAGTGAACGGAAGACTCCTGAAGATGAGTCTGCAAAATGTTCCAAGGTCCTCCTAGTTGAGAGGCACTGCAAATAAATAATTTTCCCAGAGCGATATTCCCTTTCTCTGTCCTTCCCTATGGAAGTACCCAGAGAAATGTTGCACAAAGAAGGTGTGCCAGAAAGTCTGTGGGGTTTTTTTTGTATGTCTAGTCCCAAAGCAGAAGAAAATGATGAGGAGAAAAAGCAGGTCACATTGAAAGAGAGTGTCTCATTTGGCAGTCATAGTTGCTTTTATCCAGAAGACATTATTGCAAACCTTAGTTTAAACCCAGTTTGTGTCTGCGCCCATCCTATCCCCCAGGAGACAATGCCCTGGAGCTGCCCATTGCCAACAACTGGACCACCGGAATCCCCCATGCACATAAAAATATAGGTAGTCACCAACTGGTGTCAGAATCATTGATGAGACAGAAGTCCCAGAAATCACTGACATTCGAGGGACCTCCAGTGGGCTTTTTCTATAATGAAGTTCTTCAGACATTTTTAGGTCATTTCTGGTTACTACTCTACACAAAATGCTACTGTGCCTTACTTTACCTCTAAGGGCACTACAGCTAAGGATGAGTAAGGTGCCTATTTTTGACCAAAGCAGTCCTTGGCAGATGCTTAGAATACGTGTGTCTGTTATGGTTTAACCCCAGCTGGCAACTAAGCACCACACAGCCACTCGCTCACTCGCCCCCCCCCCCCCCCGGTGGCATGGAGGACAGCATCAGAAGAGTAAAAGTGAGAAAACTCATGGTTTGACATAAAGAGAGTTTAATAGGTAAAGCACTCCGTTGTGGAGAATACAGGAGCCTTAGGGCTTTGCAGGGTATCTGGATATGGATCTACAAGAAAATATGGAGAGATTTTTTTATGAGATCTCTGACTTCATTTCCGAGCCCAGAGAAGTTCGTTCTAAGCAGAAAAGTAATCACTGAACATCCTGTTTCAGCAGTCATGATTTTTCCTCTGAACAGTAATTACAGCATAGATTCCTTTTGTTTAGATGGAACAGATTCTACCCATGGGTCCACGGTTCTACACTGCAGCCCCGTAATTTTTTCTGATAGCTAGAAAAATCATCATTTGGCAACCATGGTGCTAAGAGCAGGAGAGAAACCTGGGCCTCAGGGAAACTATCCTCTCCTCTGGTGCAGGTTTAGTTGTCAACAGCAACTTAGACTCCAGTCACCATTTACACCTCTGACCATTTGTGTAAGAGAATGGAGATGTCTTGCAGTGATTTTACTTCCATAGGCAGAGATTTTGATCTTGTTCTCAGAGAACAGACAACTTTAATGATATTATTTAAATTGCTAGTGTTTGCACCGCACTGCTGATGGCAAAAGGCCACAAAATTTATGGCAGGATGAATGGCACATGGATGATTTAATTGATTCCATATTCATAACACAGAGCAAGAGGAAGGACCTTATAAAGGCTTGCCTTTACAGCAATTAAATGGTTACTTTCCTACAGAGATTGATCATTCAAAAAAGGCTTGTCCCACAGCACTTCTCTTCTTTACCCAGTACTGTTTGGAGTTAATTCTGAGGTCTCATATTGTCTCCCGGGCCCTCATGATGCTGTACATTCTCACAGAGTACTCACTGGTATTGTGAGTGTGTTGCTCCAGGCAGAGATTAGGCATGTGTTTTCTGTGGCCACACAGCTGGCAGGCAGAGGAACTGTTTGGTCAGCTCTGTTGAGATGGGCTGGTTCGGCAAGATTGGTGAGCATAAAGTCATTGACCAGTGTTTTGGAGCTGTAGCCAGAGTGACTGTTGACTTTAGCTGAATTAATCAACTGCTGTGTCGATTCTGTGAGTGCCAGGTTGGTTTTGCCAAGCTGTACTTGGATGTGACTGGAAAAGAGAAGGAATGGCATATACTTTACTGCTACTGACAGATTATGAGGAACCTGCTTGCCACCATATGCAGTAGCTTCAACATTAGTAACATAGCAGCTGTTTTCATGGAGGTTATCTTTCTTGTCCTGCAATAAGTCCCGGGGATCCAATCTGAGATCTTACCCACTGCCAGTACGGGTGATGAATTTCTGCAAGTTTATTTTGTTGAGCTGAGACAAGTTGAATATATAACAGTGCTTTATAGAAATATTCTGGGAAAAAGCAAACTGCTATCACCCTGACCTCATTAGTCCTCCTGTTCTCCAGTGACTAAGTTTTAGCAAGATTAATGCAGCTTCTATTAAAAAAAATCACAGCCGGTTATTCATTGCTAGTTTATCATATTGTCATTTCAAAAAAAAGTGCTGTGCATGCACAAAAACATTTGCAGAAGTTAAGAACCCCTTATGAAATGTCAGCCCAGCTTCTTGAAGAATCACCCTGTCCTTAGCTGTGTCGTGTTGGAAAGAAGTCACATATATATTTGGAGCTCATGGCTCAGGAGTGCTGCTAGAAGTGAACTGGAAGAAAGAGGTAGGTAATGACAGAGTTGTGTTTTGTGTTTTGTTTTTTTTTTAAATAACACTCATGACTGTCAGTGGTGAGCAGCTGACAGGACTCGCTGGCTATTGATGAGGGAACCTCAACAGAAGTGATACTCAGAAAGGCACGGAGCAACCAGGCCATGGGAGCAACAGCTGTGACACATGATCAACCACTTTCCCTTTGAAGTAAAGGGAAACCTGAGGCAGGTGGCTAGAAGGAGCTAAATGGCCCTTATGCAGACCTACAAAGTGCTGGCCCTGGCAGTCTTTGTCTTTTGTCTACCACTTTTATCATAATCCACTGACTTTTATGGAAAACCTATAGACCAAACCTCCAGGCTGGAACATATAAACTATCAGCTAACCCAAAAAGATTTTGAAGCAGAGCCAGAAGCAGCTGGACTGCTGAGACATTCGTGCTTCCTGGTATAATACAAGGGGCATCTCTACTGTGACAGACGAGGAAGGATGAACACTCTCTGTGTTGGCTAGGTAACAAATTCCTTTCTTTTTCTTTTTTTGGCTCATGGGTAAAAAAATCAAGAGATAAGTGTTATAAATTACAAAATTTTATGACTTTGAATGGTGAATAAGTGACTTCATGTGACAGGCTAGTCTGGAGAAAAGGGGCTTGATCCCAGTTTATTTTGTCTGTTTCTTGTATTTCTTAATGAGCTCACAAAATCACAGCCATTGTCATCTGGTGGTTCAGGAGCAGCAGCACTGGTACTGTTGCATGTACCAGAATTTGCAGATGTAAAGGCAGGGCTGCTCTGCTTGCCCATGAGGCAGCATTAGATGGGTTGTTACAGACACAGCACTACCACGACTTCCCTCAAACCCCTCCCCCCAGAAGTGGAGGAACAGACATGTTGTCCCCTTCAGTAAGTGCTGTCATGATCACAGCTGTGCTTCTGTCACACCATCCCTGCTGCTGCTTTAAAGCCCTTCGGCATGCCACCCTACCCTCTCTGCTGTGGAGTCCAAGTTCATTTCTCCTGACAGTTTGAGGCCATGCTCCTTTCTCCGCTTCTCTGCTGAATGTCATACACCTTTTGCTGTCTCTCCACTGGAGGCACCACAAGAGACAGGCCAACACCTGCCTATCCCCATCACTGTCCCCAGTGTCACCTCGGCACATGCCCTGTCGCCAACACTGTCCCTGCATGTGCCCTATACCCATCCTTGTCCCCACTGGAGGCCTGTCCTCACCCCTATCTGCCTCCCTACCCACTCTCACTATCCTTACCTGCTCCACGCTCACTTTATCTGGTTTGGACACAACAACTCACTGGTACTGAAGCACGAGAGTGACGTATGGATGACTGTTAATTTGTCTGACCCATCATTTGATGGGAAATCCCAGGCAGCCAATCAGAGGAAACATCATCCCAGGGAAGGGTGGACACTAGAGGTGGGGTTGCCCCCTCTGGATTCTAATCAGAGAGAGAAATCACCTCGGGGAAGGGTAGAGCATCACATCTGGGCAGAGTGACAGCCCAGACGGCCAATCAGAGAGACAATTACCTCAGGGAAGCATCCTGATCAGAGAGAGCATCACCTCAGCCCTTCTTCCCTCCTTCTGCCCCTCCCTCTCTCTCCCCTCCTCCCTGGCCACCACATGTTCTGGAACCCCTGTTTCCATGGGAGCCACCAGCTCACAGAAAGTTGGTTACCTGTGGCCGTGCCACTAGATGGCAGCCGTGGGCCACAGGGCTGCTCACTGTGAAGGTGAGGCTGCTGGAATAGCAGGACAAGTACGGGTGGGGAGGGTGATGCCTGCCGTGAGGCCAGGTGCCATCACCTCACCCACTTCCCCTCATCACAGTCCAAGCAGCCCCGCAGCAGCCTGAAGGATGGTGATGAGGTGAGGACGTGGCTGTCATCCAGCATCTCCACCTGAGATGGTGAGTTGAAGTGGGCAGGATGATGGGCCTGGGGTCTCCCCCCAGAGCAGGGGGGTGGTCACAGGCTTGATGTTCTCCCCTCCTCCCCACAGCTACTGCACAGCATCTCCTTCCTGACACTGCCCAAACTGCTGAGCCTGGGCCAGACCTGCTGCCACCTCCAGGAGTTATGTGACAGTCTGGTGCCATCTGTGTCCCTTGCCGCTGTAAGTGCCCAACACTGCAAGAGGGCTACTATCCTCAGAAGTGAGTCTCTCATTGGCAGGGAGGTTGTGGGGTGGTGGCACTTTGTCCCCCCAGCCAGTGACAATGTCCCTGCTTGCCCACTGTCAGACACCAAGGCACAGTACCTCCAGAGCCTGGGCTGCCACTGGCAGTGAGTGCTGATGGCCACATCTACACACTGACAGGGCAGGAGCAGTGCAGCACCCTGGACGTGTATAGCCCTGCCAATGCCTAGTGCATCTTCCATGTCACCTTCCACTCCTCCATCCACTCCCGACAGCTGGTTGTCACTGGCATGGAGGTGATGTGGACCCTTCTGCTACTCACAGGTTTGAGGGGGACACTGAGGGATGGAGGGAGCACTGTACCTGTCTCTGTCCTGTCCCTGTCCCCATCCCTTTCCCATCAGGACAAGAGCCTGTGAGGGCGAAGCTTCCTGTACCTGAAGAAAAAAGTCTTCATCAGCAAGCTCCCCTTGATCAGGCAGCCTTAATTCTTACCCATAAACTTTCAATATGCTCATGGCTAATCTTCAGGAACACGTCTTCACAATCTGTCAAGAAATGGATAGCAAATTTCCAGGTCTTCAATGAGTTAATCAACAGGACTCACTGGGAAATGGCCCTCAGGGCCAAGGGAGCAGAACAGAGCTGGCAGGCCTTCAAGGATGCTTTCCATAGGGCACAAGAGCTCTCGATGCCTAGGTGCAGGAAATCAGGCAAGGAAGGGAGGAGGCCGGCATGGCTGAGCCATGACCTGTGGTGTCAAACTAAAGGTCGAGATTGCACAGGCAGTGGAAAAAGGGCCTGGTATGTTAGGAGGAGCACAGGGATGCTGCCCGTTTGTGTAAGGATGGGATCAGGAAGGCCAAGGCTTGGCTGGAGCTAAAGCTGGCAAGGGCTCCGAAGAATAATAATAAGGCCCTCTAGAGGTACATTAACCAAAAAAGGAAGGTTAAGGAAAGTGTACCCTGTCTGATGACCAGAAGTGGCGAGCTGATAACGAGAGACGAGGAGAAGGCTGAGGTAGTCAACAATTTTTTTGCCTCAGCCTTCACTGGCAAACTCTTTCCTCAACACCTTGTGAGTCAAAGGGCCATTTGATGGGGATCGGGAGGGCAGAGGGCCTCTCATTGTAAGAGAAGATCAGGCTCGTGACCACCTGAGGAAACTGAATGTATATAAGTCTACGGGTACCAATGAGATGCATCCCAGAGTCCTGAGGGAATTGGTTGATGTAGTTGCTAAGCCAGTCTCCATGATATTTGAAAAGTCATGGCAGTCAGGTGAAGTCCCCAGTGACTGGAAAAAGGGAAATATTGCACCCATTTTTAAAAAGGGTAGAAGAGAGGACCCTGGGAACTACTGACCTGTCAGCCTCACTTCTGTGCCTGGGAAGATCATGGAACAGATCCTCCTAGAAGCTGTGTTAAGGCACATGGAGGACAGCCACGTGATTCGGGACAGCAAGAATGGCTTCACCAAGGGCAAGTCTTGCCTCACCAATGCACTGGCCTTCTATGATGGAGTGACTGCATCAGTGGAAGAGGGAAGGGTTATCTGGACTTCTGTAAGGCCTTTGAAATGGTGCCCCACAATATCCTTCTCTCTAAATGCAGGGTCCTGCACTTGGCTCATGGTAATCCCCGGTATCAGTACGGGCTGGGGGGAAGAAGGGATTGAGTGCAGCCCTGCCGAGAATGACTTGGGGGTACTGATAGATGGACATAAGCCAGCAATATGCTCTGGCTGCATCAAAAGAAGCGTGCCCAGCACGTCGAGGGAGGTGGTTCTACCCCTCTACTCTGCTCTGGTGAGACCCCCACCTGCAGTACTGCGTCCAGCTCTGGGGTCCTCAGTAAAAGAAGGACATACACCTGTTACAGAGGGTCCAGAGGAGGGCCACAAAAATGATCACAGGGATGGAACACCTCTCTTATGAGAAAAGGCTGAAAGAGCTGGATTTCTCAGCCTGGAGAAGAGAAGGCTGGGGGGAGACCTTATTGCAGCCTTTCAGTACTTGAAGGGGGCTTATAAGAAAGGTGGGACAGACTTTTTTCAGTAGTGATAGGACAAGGGGTAATGGTTTTAAACTAAAAGAGGGTAGAATCAGACTAGAATAAAAGCAACAAATTTTTTACAATGAGGGTAGTGAAACACTGCAATGCGTTGCCCAGAGAGGTGGTAGATTCACCATGCTTTGAAACATTCAAGGACAGGCTGGATGGGGCTCTGATCAACCTGATATACTTGTGTGTGTCATAGAATCATAGAATCATCAAGGTTGGAAAAGACCCTTAAGATCATAGAGTCCAATCGTCAACATATCACTGTCAAGTTCAGCTATACCATGTCTTCAAGCACCGTATCTATCCTTTCTTTAAATATCTCCAGGGATGGGGACGCAAACACTTCCCTGGGCAGCCTGTTCCAGTGCTTGATAACACTTTCAGTGAAGAAGTTTTTCCAAGTATCCAACCTAAAGCTCCCCTGGCGCAGCTTGAGGCCGTTTCCTCTCGTCCTATCACTTGTTACTTGGGAGAAGAGACCGACCCCCACCTCACTACAGCCTCCTATCAATTAGTTGTAGAGAGTGATAAGGTCTCCCCTCAGCCTCCTCTTCTCCAGACTAAACAACCCCAGTTCCCTCAGCCTCTCCTCATAAGACTTGTGCTCTAGACCCTTCACCAGCTTCGTTGCCCTTCTTTGGACATGCTCCAGCACTTCAATGTCCTTCTTGTAGTGAGGGGCCCAAAACTGAACAAAGTACTCGAGGTGCGGCCACACAAATGCCGAGTACACGGGCACTATCACCTCCCTGGTCCTGCTGGCCACACTAGTCCTGATACAAGCTAGGATGCCATTGGCCCTCTTGGCCACCTGAGCACACTGCTGGCTCACGTTCAGGCGGCTCTCAACCAACACCCCCAGGTCCTTTTCTGCCAGGCAGCTCTTCAGCCACTCCTCCCCAAGCCTGTAGTGTTGCATGGGGATATTGTGACGGAATGTGGGAGAGCAGCACTTGTGTGACTGCTATGTCCTCTTTATCTTCTTCCATCTCCACATTTCTGCCTCTTCTGCCCCTTCCACTGTCTCCTCCTGCTGCGTCTTCTGCCACTGCCTTGTGTAGTCTTCTTGTGCTTTCTCCCCTGCCACCTCTTCCTCCGCCTCTTCCACTGCCACCTTCTGTCGCTTCTTCCGTCACCTTCTTCTGCTGCCATATTCCAACGTGTGTTCTGTCAAATTGTTCCGCCTTCTTCTGCCACCTCTTATACTGCAGTCTTCCACTGATTCTTCCACTGAACTCTTATGGCACCACTTTGTCTGTCTCCTTCATTTTTTCATTGCTGTCTTCCTCTTCTCCCCCCTTCCTCCGAATCCTTTTCCATTGCTTTTTCCACTGTTGTCTTCCGCCACTGACACTTCCACCAAATTCTTCTGATGCCTCATGTTCTGCCACCGCCTTCCAACACCGCCTTAATAAAACACAATTATTTGTCGCCCCCCCTTCTCTTGCACTGCAGCCTCCTCCACTGCCTTCTTATGCAACCTACCTTCATTGCGTTCTTTTGCTGCCTTCTTCTGTTTTGTTATTCTGCGACCATATTCCATCGCCGCCATCTTCTGCTTCCTTTTTGGCTGCCTCCTTAGCCACTGTCTTCTGCTGCCTTTTTCACTGCCACCTTCTGCTGCTTTTTTGCCACTACCTCTTCAGCCAGATTCTTCTGTTGCCTCTTTTTGCACCTCTTTGTCTATCTCTTCTGTCTGATTCTCCACCGACTTCCTCTGCCACCTTCTTTTACCACCAATTCAGCTGCCTATTCTTCTGCCTTACTTCTGCTGCCTCTTCTACAAGCTCTTCCACTTCCTTCTTCCATTCCTTCTTACCCATTGCTTCTTACCAGGCCTCTTCCTCCACCGCCTCTTCCACTGTACTCTTCTGCCACTGCCTTCTTCCTTCACTTCTTCCGTTGCCTTCTTTTGCTGCCGTCATCTCTCACCATCAACCATTCCCTTAAAAGATGCCTCCCGGAAATACAATAGAGCAAAAAAAACAGTCTAGGAGGTTCGTGTAGAGTGTAGAAGACTTTGGGAGGCTGTAGAAAGAGACAGCGCCAGCGTTTGTGGGGCAGTGAATGCGGTTGCCTGGATACTGGAAGAGCAGCAAGAGCTTTTAGTCCTGGCACATTTGGTGTGGGAGGAATCTCTGGACGTTCGCAATTACTGAGCGGGGCTCAACTCTACTCAGAAGTTCAGGCAGAGAGATTGTATTTGACTCTTGCTGCGCTTCAAGGAGACAGGCAACCCCATTCACAGCCCCACAAACGCTGGTGATATCACTTTCTACAGCCTCCCCAAGTCTAATACTATCTGACTGGGTGAGTGCGTAGAGTGGGAACCCAGCTCAGCAATTGCGAACGTGCAGAAATTCCTCCGACCCCAAAGGTACCAGGAAAAAAATCACTTGCTGCTGTTCAAGTAGCCAGGCAACCGCACTCACAGCCCCTGAAACGCTGGCGCTGTCTCTCTCTACAACCTCCCAAACTCCAGTACTAGCTGCCTATTCCC